GCCTAAGGTTTCCACAAAAGTAATATTTGTTGCGTCTTGACAAGGTGTAAATAACCAGACATTTTACGGACTGGATGGTCACAGAAATAGCTGCTGTGGTGGTAGGGTGTGAGTCACTACTCCCAGAAGTACGTAGGGCTTCAAAACTTACATTAGTTGACTGTTACATTTCTGGGCCGGTGAGGATCCCATCACCACACAGCTCTGGAAGACTAAAACATCCAGAATGAAATGCCACTCGTAACCACCCACCGTCGCATGGAGGCAATCACTAGCACGCTAGCCTGCCATCCTGATGGATGGCTTCCGATGTCTGGTGTGATGTGTGCGATATGAGGTGAACTGTCCCACGCAGCACAGGTCCGCCGGCTAGTGTTACCTGCAGGGGACCTTACCTAAACCTTTCTGCTGTGCGTAGTATCCCTACGGCAATATACCTTACAGTAGAACTACGAGATCTTGGTTAACCCACACATCTCTTGGATGACCCCTTGTACATGTCCTGCTGTTTATCCAACCCATTGACCTTTCAAGTCAAATAGTAGACTGCTGGTGTAAGATCGCCTCACAGTGTCCGCGTTCTTGAGAGTATACTTTAAAATCGTATTATTCCCTCCTAAAGGGATTGCCGGCTCCCGGTCTGTGATGCCTATCGGCAATTTAATCAACCCTATTGGGGTAATTAAAACGTTTGCCGTGCAAAGTTTGAACCTCCAACAGAGATCGCGGGAGCAAGAGGGAAACACGAATTCTCTGCCAGTTAAAATATTACCACTGTTTTTTATCCCACCCCATAGTGTGGGTGTGTGTGTGTAGTTTTGATTGCCTGCCGCGACTGCGGTGCTACTCCGTGCACACACAAATATATACATACGGTTGCGTATTTTTCTGACCCGAAAATGATTGGAGTTGCTTCAGCTATTTAACGCTGCCCTCTCGATAAAATAGACGGTAGATTAGCCATTTTGCCCTCCGCTCCCCGGAAGAGCTGCGCGCCACCTTTGTCAGGACACATTGATCATCCACTCCGGAGTGAGCACCTCCGCAGTTAAAGTGACGCAGACTTCTCCTAAAAAAGCAGCAATTTTTCCTGAAAAAAGGTATTCTCTTTCCCCGCCGGAAGTGGGGAAAAGAAGCAAGAAGCCTCCTAGATTTTTAGATCCACACGATAAGTTTATTTCACTGAATCGTAATTTTTGGACTTGGTTATTACAACTTTTGTACTGTAAGTGGAATGTTGAGTAAAAACATTTAAAATGAAATATTTTTAAGATTAGGGATTAGTTTTGGAGCACTTGCCAAATGATGCTAAATTCTGCAGCGCGATAAAATTTTCCTCCATTTTTACATTTTGGCAAAAATCAAAACCGTTATCCCTGAAACGTCGAAGTTTTAATGTCTTAAGGCATACTAAGTATGATCTCTCAAAAACTGCTCATTTTTGGTAAAATTTCTTATTGGAACTCGACGTCACAACTGTGTGACTGGCGTTATTCGTTCGCTCTTAGCAACTGATTCTACCAAACCATGGATGTGGTAGACTATGCTTTCAACCAAAGGAAGTAATGGCAATATCTGTCTGACTTAAATATTACACTCCTAGGTGGCTGTAGTGGCTGATGATGTGCACTTGATCGCCGGCTGCCCACATGCTATGCAGTATTTGTGGGGAGAATACTTCCTTTCTTTCCAAGGAAAGTAATGGTGGCGCTACTGTGAGTCCATCGAAAAATTGATGTTATCTCAGTAATAAGTACTTAAGTACTCGGGTCACAGCGGCTCCCAGCAGTTGAGCCTTTACAACAATTGGTGAGGGGTTTTTCTCACACCGTTGTTACGGTACTAGTTTTCCAACCCTACCGTAAGGTCATACTCTGCTTTGCTTGAAAGCAGTCTATGCTGTGCATTTTAAGGGTCCAATTAATTTAAACCACTCATTGGAGAGGTGGTTCTAAGGTCTCTTTCGCAACATCCAGAGGACATATAGCGACCCAGCACCTAAAGTAAAGCTTGGAGCTAATGGAGTGTTTCAAAGTCCAGTCCACGTAGCCGAGGTACAATAGTGAAGCACCTCAGTGGCTCATCTATCAAAATCGAGGATTGGACAAACAATCAAGGTGTTACGCAGTCTTTCTCTCCTCTTTTGGGAGCTGTGCAGGAAGGCAGTGGAATGTGCCAGCTATCCCATGCATCCATCACTAGTCGTAGGGGCACTGGCCTAAAAGCCAGGCCACATGCCAAAGGACGGTATTTAATATAGCATCGTATGTGTATAGTTTCGCAACTATTCCTCATTGCCAATTTTTTAGCACTTCTTTGCTGCCTAGCATGTATCTATCTGATTTATATCCAGCTAATAGAGAGGCGGAGGAGGTATAGTGTATCACTTACTTGACATCGTACAGATACCGTCGACAGCTGTGAAACGAACTTTTTCAGATGGTTCACGCCTAGCGTCGCTTTAAATGTTAATCGCTTTTCTGTAGAACACAGAACTGGGGTAGGTATCAAAGGTAGATGGCATTTTCAGTCCCTCTTTTAAGGGTCGCCGACGAATTTTTCACCCACGTCGTATGCACTTCTGCCGTTCCGCTAAGCTTTATTGCCCAGCAGTGGAAATGAGGGTAGGTCCTTTATCATTGGCTTTTGTTTTAACGCTGTCACCATTGCAGCGTCCCGAGACTCAGTAGGGCTAGCGAAGCTGCTCGCGTGTTAGCAGGCCAGCCCACCCAGCAGATGTACAATGGCGGAGCATCTGAATGGTCACTCTACTAAAATTGGGAAGTAAAACAACCACCGACGTATTACAGATAAAAATGAATCCGTTAGGAGTTTTGTAATTATCTTGCTCTCGCTAGGGTCTTAACCATCCCTAATGACCAGCATTCAGCCTTTAAACAACCCTGGAGGTAGTTTGACTATCATGTCGATATTCAAGAGGTGGAGTTATCACGCCATAGGTTGAAATCAGGTACAAGTTATCATAAATCAGCCTTCGAGTATCAAGGGTATAATGGCGGACGGCGAGGGAGACATTAAACTTCGGCGCCATAGCGGATGTATTTGTTAATTCCTAACAGCACTCTTGAAGGTAGGTAGCTGGTCCATTTATTTTCAGGTAAACAGAGCATGACAGATTTACACAACCCAAGCATCCATCACTCGCTGCCTAGGTTAAGGCGTGATGGGGTGGCGTGTGAAGGTGTCAGTTAGAACTCTGTCCACAGCAAAGGGAGCTGTCCTCTTTCCCACAGTGCTTTTCTCCTCTAAGCCAAAAGTAACAATGAGGAATGGATTATTCACGAGGACTTCACTTGACTTGCTCTTTTAGAGAGGAAGAGAGAGGGAGACGGAAAATAATACGATAGAGGTTTACATCAATTATTCCCTATGAATTCGGAGCCCATTTTAGGAAGTAAAATATCCCTTATCATGTTGATTGAGAGGTAATACACAAAAGGGACTATTTTTGCACACCGGTTTTACTTTGTTTAGCTTGTGAACAAAAAATAAACTGCCTGCTTAGTCGAACGTGTCAGCAGGGTTCGTGCTTCTAAGTCATCAACAGTGCACTTCTTGACAGGTAGGTAGTCATTAAACCAAAGGTTTTATTATATCACATATTGCGCTAGTAAAAGTGCAATTAAAAAGAGTAAATCACGAAGAAAATGAAGGGTAAAAGTCAAGGCTATTCGCAGGTTTTTATTCGTCTACATCTCCCTAAATATAGCGTTACTTTGAAGATCTCGTGTCTAATGCCAAGGAGGTATCGCGAGGAGACGCTGTCCTGCCTGGATTCCACCTCGTAGGGACTAATTAAGGTTGCACTGCATCCCAGGCAAGTACTAAGGTAGTAAGGCATATCACTTCGGGAATAGTTATTATTAGGCCACAAAAGGAGGGGTGACTGAAAAGTCATGACCTTTAGACACCGATGGAGCCCGCACAGCTGAATGTACCACATAAGCGAAGGCTGAGACTGACACATTCTTCCCCTTTTGATCCCCTTCTAGCTTTGCTCCTCCTGTAAATTGTCATACCTTGTGAACTGGCGCTTAAGGGCGGGAGCTCGATCCGGACGTCTGTGTTTGTCGACTCGTATGAGTAAGCCTGAGGGTGAGGCATGTGCTTACATGACACCTGGCCAAAATAGACATAAAAGGTGGTTTTAGTTGACAGGTCTTGGCACTAAAGGAATCACTGCACACTTCTCAGTACCTTTGTACGTGGTGACGGTCAATCAGAATAGGCTGGATGAGAGCTCTTTGTATTTCAGAGGCATTTAGGTGTGGTTTAAGAACCCTGTCCGAATAGTCTAGCTTGAGCCACCAGTCCCACTGAATGCATTTTGCCCCGATATTTCTAGGTCTATTTTTGCCAGAATTCTGGCCAATGAATCAACAATGATGGGAAAGATTTATGCATCTCTCGTGAAGATTTTGGTGAGCCAGCGTCTTGTTTCCGCTATGGAGAGGGTAGCCCAATCAAATGGACTAGTATACAAGCGAAAAAATCCTTACCCACATCCGAATGCAGCATTGGGGAGTTGGAAGAGCTCACAATAGCCCGGTTACTATGGAAATTGGGTCGCTTCCGGCGTATAATCGCACGAACCCTGTACACACATATACATTCATAGACCCTGAGGCAGAATTGCTAGTGTCATTGCCAAAATCTGAGTGTTTTTATGTTTATGGGTAACAGGGTGTGCCTTTACCATCAGCACTCAAGAGTTTGTGAGACAAAAAGAAAGGACTCGGGTAGACAATTTTTCCTGCATGGCAAAGGAGGCGAAGCGGAGGACAACAAGTGCAAGGAGGGGTGAGTAAACAGTGTAATCTCATCCTTCTTTTTTGTATAGCTCGCAAATGGAATGCACGCGATTTCGAGCTTAGGAAAAAGAGGCAGCAAAATGAACCCACATCAAGATAAACTAATCAACAAGGTGTTGAGTATCAACCTTTTGGTGAACATGAGCCATCATGTAGAGTAGATTACATCTACTATTTATTTCCTATCAGAGGTTTGGGAGGAAATAAAGTCGGGGGTAGAAAATGCTCATGCTAACCCTGATTCTTTCGAGGTGGCAATCACTGGGATGGTAGACCCGGCTCCTGTAGGCTCGTGCAGACACTGACTTTATCAACACTCACCTTTGGTAACATTATCACCTCAAAAATGTGATTTCTTCCTTTAGTGCTTTTTAAGAGGTTGAAGTCGCAGTATGTGCCTGCTTCTTCTTACCTAGATAATCTATTCCGCTTCTGTGTTGGTGGATGGACTAGAGAAAGACTCTAGACAATGTGGATGGAATGAGGAGAGAGGAGTTGAACGCTTTAGCGATAGTGTTCTTTAAATAAAAATGCAAAACTTTGCAATTTTGTAAAAAAGTGCCCACTATGATAAGATAATTACGACTGACTATTAGGGATGTGGAGGAGACGCCACCATCAGTTACACTCGGACAATTTAGTGTTCTGTTATGACTTTAACCACTTCCACAGTTGCACTAATCAGGTTACCTGCCTCTGGAAACCAAGAATAAATGCAACTGTTAGTATTTTCATTTAAACTGTCAGTTTGAGGAACGCGTGTAATACACATGTGATGGGAGTAGCGAACACGTCTACATCATAGTGTATAGCACAAATTAGTCACTAAATGTACTATTTGAGGCCTTCTCAAATAATAGGCTAGTTATGATACTTAACCTTTATTGTTTCTCCCTCCTGCCATTGATTATAGCTAATAAGGGAATCACATGTAGTTGTTAATACCATTTAAAACTGCCATCCCTTAAGGATCATCGGGCAGAGATATGGAGTCACTAAAAATGATCGTAAGTGCTAGTGAACTATTATTGGCAACACTTAGTGGAAAACAATGAGATCTCATCATTAACTTGGAGCCATTACGTGGATGTCGGCACTACCACTAGTGAGCCCCCGACTGATCCCCTTTAGGAATTACAGTTTCATCAAAGCTGGTTAAGACTCATTTCTGATCCAATTTGTCGTCGGCGAATTGGATTGGAGCTAAACTGCGACTGTCCCTATCACGAGATGTTACTCTGACGGCCTCATGCGCAGTAGTAAGTAGTATGTGTGGCCCCTCACTAAGATCTGTCGCAGAGGTACCGTTCTTTAAGATGGTAGGCAACAGTAATGATAGCCCCTAATTGTGAAGATTCAAGGAGTGTCCTGCGCATGAAGGCATGAAACCAATAGATAAATCTGGCCATGACAGTCATCAGGACTAGTTTAGGCAGAGAGAGAATGCTCAACTACTCAAAAGTGCTCGCATCTGGGCTCCCAGCCGTCCATGGGCTTCACTCCTGTGATCATTCGGATGAAGAGTGGGATGCCCGCCTGACCGTAGATAATTAAGCCGCGTCCCATCGTGGTGAAGGTAAACAAGATCACCAATGAAGAAACTCCGCGCTTAGCACCAAGACAGTTTTTAGCAGGCTCTCCTGGGCGAATTTAGCTTTACTGACAAGCAGGTCTACCATGAATCTGTATTGCAGGTTAGGGGATACACAAATGCAGCAGCACAGAAATGCGTAAGGAAGAATAGGAAGTGATAATAGCATTTCTTAGAATGCGTTTTTCTGCCCTTTGCAAATTAAGATCCTGATTTGACTTATAGCTCTCTTGTAAATGCTGAACGGTCAGATGATTGTGTGGAAAAGTACAGATGAAAAGTAGGGACTACTTTGGGCTTACCTACTAATTTCTTTCCATTCTGAGCATGATGGCAGCAACACATTTCTACTAGAGTAGCAAATAGGGACAAACAAATAGGTTAAAAGCCAAAATAAGGCTGTAGTTGTTACATCTTCTGATGAACTCTTCAAAAAATAGATGGTTTTGAATTCTTGATGCCATACCAACTCCAAAACATTAACATCGGTTCATTTAACTTTTCCACAGGCATTGTTAATTCTTAACCCCTCGGTCAGATCAACATTTTGGGCTGGGGCGAACTAGGATCAGAATTTTTTAAGCACATCTTCACCTGCCCCAGCGTCATCTCCCGCCCCCCCTTTCACTGGCACTTGGACAGCCACGATCGCACCCAATGAAAGCCACTGTCATGTCGGTTGCTGGCTGAGCACGAAAAAAGAAGTAGTAGCCATAATCATTATTTAATGTGTAATTTTAGGCCGTACAAAGAGAGAGTGAGCGGCGACGGGATCATGCAAGTGGCACAGAATGTGACAAATTTTTGACCACGTGAGGAAATCATGTAAACATTATGCCAATTCACAACAACATCGAGTTGTTAAAAATCACATTTTAGATAAAAAATAGCAACATTTAGTGCAGCGCTTCAAGCCTTTCCTCGAGACGAAAGAAGTCATATTGCTAGGGCGGATAATAAATCGCCGATGTACAGTAGGGCTGGGGCGGGGGCTACTGGCATGGCCTGGAGGCCATGTCGCCCGGCGAAGGTATAAAACAGAGCCTTAAGTGCCCGCAAATCCAAAACGAACAGTTAACCAGACAATCAGAGCATTATATAGCTTCCTCATCCCTCTTTGAGTGTCGTCCTTAGTGCTCCCCTGGTCAACCTTCCGCGTCGGTCATCACAACTCTGCCAACGTGGTAAGAAGGGAAAAACGTGCCAACCAGAAAATCCAGTCAACTAGTTGTCGTGTATCTGAGATTTCATCTGCCTGCAACGTCACTGATTCCTCTTTGTCCTGTATGGGAACTATATTAGATGAAGGGGAAAATTTTACAGGCCATCACACATGCCCGCCGTTAGTAGTGAGAGCACTACCCTGAAAGCAGGGTCAATTCATAAGGAATGGGGTTTAAAATAGTTTCGCAGGGACTGGGTATCACGTCTGCTCCCTCTTGTTTAGTTATTATCATTTTAGGCCTCCCTAGCTATATCCATCTGTGTTCTACCCAGCAATTCGAGAGATAGAGGAGGTATCGCGTGTTTACTTCACTCACATCTTCACCCAAGCACCATGGCCAGCTCTGTGGCAAACTTCTTCAGATGATTAAAGGCTAGTGTCGCTTCAGTTGTTAATAGCACTCCTGTAGAACACGGGACTAGGGCGGTTGCGGAAGGTGAATGTCATCTTCACCCCTTCTTTTAAGGATCATCAAGGATTCTCACAACTGCAGCACATGCCCATCTTCCTTCAAGTTGGGTTTTTTTTACCCACCAATTCAAATCCGGGTATATGGCCTTTAGGATAGGATTTGCTTCTCACTGCTACCAATTTAGCTTCCCGATTTTTTCCTAGATTCCTAAAAAGACAGTACTGAGGCAGAATGTGTATCGCTGACGTATGGAAGGCCAGAGGGGCAACTGCCATGGCTTGGAAGCCAGGCAGCCAAGCTGGAGTACAAAGGCGAAGCCTTAAGCACCCAAAAAACCAAAACTATTTTAGCTAAATTTGAGGAGAAAATTTTTGCTGTAGATTCTTTACTTATTGCTGTTGGAGGTGGGGAAAAACCGTGAAAATTACCGAAATGGAAAGTCTTCATAGGAAGCTCTAGGTGAAACCGGATATGCCTTTTGGCGTAACCTTGAGGTTATCGCAACCTTTTCTTATGTGGAAAAGCCAGCCTTCACGAAAGGAAAGTGCCATGGCTTCCACTGGAGAAGATGGAGAGAAGGGATATGTGTGCAATAACCAATGCTGCCTCTATCAAGTAACCTCATCGCACAAGAATCCATTTGCTACAGGTGAGTTGGGACTATAAAGCCTTTCTGCACTCAGGAACTGATGAAGTTTCCTACGGCTGGGCACACGATGCTATCTGCCCTCGTAATTCCCTCCCACAAAAGTGACTGTCCCTCTCGGTAAAAGAGAGTGAGAGTGGAGAAGAAGTTTGTGAATTTTGCTGCTTCCACTACTGCTTCTGCTGCTACTGCTACTTCTTCCTCAGTCTCGTTCGTCTCTACCCATTATTATTATTATTATCACGCCAACAGAGGTCTTCATGGTAAATATCCTGGCTCTCTCTCTCCTACTACTATCATCAGTTGTACGCAAGGGATTCTGCTACTGTATTTCTGAGCAACCCTGAGCCAGACCAGACCCTGTTGTGCTGCTGCTTCCCTGGCGCTGTTTTGGTCTCATACTGTTGCGTGTGATGCCAATGCTTATCCCCCTATGTATTTTATGGGGCATTAGTAACTGAAGTTTAAGGCAGCCATGATGGTCTGACCTCTTAAGGCCCGCAAACGCAGTTGAACAAAAGCTCACGCACGGATACAGAGAAGCATGTACACTGTAGGCGCGCGCGCGCTTCACCTACGGTTTATGGCTGAGCGCAAAGTCGTGTCAACTTAACCGAAGCGTTTTCGCCCCTCATTCTTGTCTTTTTTTCGCATTCCAAACGTGGCGTAACTAGAATAATGAAGTGGAAAGAAGTAGACTGTAAAGGTTAGGGGTTGGTTTACCAAAGGAGACTAGCTTCGAAGGCCTTCCCGTGATGATGGAAAGCCTCGACACGATCTACCTTTTTATCTCATGGAGAATATTAACCCAGTTGTTGTCGTAGAACGCACCAAATTATCCTCCTTGATGGTGCCTTCGGTGGTGGAGGCTAATGCCACGAGCTGACCCGCTTCCCCTAGTGCTGAGCTAGTTCCGAGGTCGTGTGTGGCTTTGAGAGTAAATAATACCCCGGGAATGTGGTGCCTACACTGCGTCAACAGTTGGGTGAATTAGCATGACCTCAAAGTGACCTGTACTTCGAAAAATACGAGTTTATGTGCGCGTGTGCTAGTAGGCGGCGGCAAAATGCCGGTTTTCTGCGCTGAATTTTGATATGCACAGAAAGCAAAATCTGCCAAGTTTGACTGAAGCCCCCCAGTGGTAAAAAAGATGCCATGAGACTCCTTCTGGAAAGTAAAATTATTCAATTGGCATAAATCACCACCTCACTTACGGCAAAAGTATTGTTGTCAAATGTCAACATCATTAGGAGCCTTACTGCCGGCAAATTAGGCCCAAGGAGCTAGTAAAAACATTTGTTTGCTGGTGCAGGTGATATACATAAGGTGGAACTCGGTTGATTTGATCACACTGGCCTCCAGGTAGACCTACCTCAATGATATGGTCTATCTACGCGATCAAGTCGGCTACTCGTGATTCAGCAGCCAGTGATCAGGAGGATAGAGTCCAAATCGCTTAGGAAGATTGAAATATGGCGTAAAATGACATCCCAACTAGCTGGTCTTTTAATTCGGTGATTGAATTGTTAAAAACCAGGACGGTGTGGCCAGATATAACTCACCCACCGAAAATAGGGTCACATTTGCAATTAAGATTTCATTATCTGCCTTGACTCCATCCGCTAGGAGGCATGGGACTATTGGGTTGAAATCATTGCGCAGCCTTTCTCCACTGGCCAAGTCCTAACCACCCTGTCACTATAGCACCAGGGAAGACGCGTGCACACGTGCGCACCAGCATGCCCCTCTAGGCAGCCAATGGGAGGGCGGTACTTCTGCTTATTTAAGTATGCGTGGTTTCCTCCCCACTTCCATGTTGTTTGAAGCGCAACAGTGCGAAACCTCACTGAATCATGGAGTCGTACCTCATCGAACTCATGTGAGTTAGCATTTATCGCTTCGCTTTTTTGGTCACTTTTTATGACTGGCGCCAAAGCTTTAATGTCCAATTAAAGGACCTCTTTAAACCACACTAATTTCATTTTCTCCCTGTTTTGGTTTGATTTCTTTAAATTTAAAGAAGGATAGCCTAAGTAGACTCTGACAAAGTTGGTGATTCATCTACTGGCAAATGAGGAGTGAGTGCAGGCGACTGCACTTATGGTTATTCAGTCAAAAAAATTCCCTTTTTATGCACGTGTGCCTTTGTGGATTTCATTCTCTTAGCCTGACCGGGTTTTTATTACCGTGAATGCCTCCTCTATCTCCGCGTTGGAACCCAGGTAGCCGTGGTGATTAATTAAAACAGGTGGCTACAAATCTCCCCTATCATTTCGGTAGTAGAACCGCATTATGCAGCGGCCGCTCAAAATGGGGTTAATATTCTTTTAGATAAAAAGGGAACATTTAACCCTCAACAGCTAAAAGTAGGGTAATACAAAAAGGAAAGAAATTATTCTTTCTCGTATGCTTGGTGGAGGATAAAACATTTGGGGGATTATTCCTGGTTGGTACAATGTGTACCATACTTTAGTAATCACAAAGACCCGCTGTCAAGACGGAACACTGCACGTAAAAAAGTGAGAGCTCCCCCTTTTCACTTTTAAAAGGAAAAGCCGACCAAAGGTGGAAGTGGGAAACAGAACATTCATAAAATCACCATGAATGATTGAAGGTGCTCGAAGAATTTTATTCCTCAGTCGAGAAGAATTAAGGATATTTTAGGTCCTCTGATGGAAAGAAGGGGAAAATTTGGGCCAGATAATGTCTACAAATGTGCTGCTGAGAGGAGGTCTGAAATGTCAGGCAGCGGCTAAAGAGCTTCCGAGATAAAGCAACCAATCCTCATTTCATTTGTCTTTACGAGCAGCACTCAGCTAGTAGCCTGAAACGCAAAGAACCTATTTTGGTAGTACCGTAATAAATAACTAAGACTACGCGTTACCGGGCTAAAGAGCGCGCTTGCATAATTGCGCCCACTTTATATTGAAGTGACCAGGTATATTCCCTCCTTTCCCTTCAGCGGGGGGAAGCTTTGCAGTTGAAAAGTGTCACTGCAATCATTGCTGCTTCGTGGAAGAGATGGACTGTTCCAGAGCTGTCATTGCCGTCAAGACGGTAACGAGGATTCGTCGCGACATTTCTGAGGCCAAACAATCCCTTTTAGGAGTGGCGTTAGGGTCCTGCATGAGGCTATGGAGGTGAGGGGATGAATAGATAGTCTTTTGCACAACCATTTCGCCACTGTATTTTTAAATCCTTAAACCGATGGGGCTAAACAGTTCACGCGGTGCTGAGTAGGGCAATACTAAAACTGTCACTGGCCTTATCACCAGGATCTCATCTCCAACTCCCCACAAGGCTTATTTTAGAGGGATTAAATCACTCACTTTGCCCATAAAGCAGCCACATCCTTGCATAGTACTTTGTCCGTGCTGTCTACGCGGTTGAGTCAGCCACTTTCGAGACCTGTTTTGCGAGTGGGCAGGTGGTTAGGGGGTTCCGATAGGATTTTGCATTCTTTAGGGCCAAATAAGGTCTGATTAAAAAAACCAAGTGGTCGCCCTTATGATGGGTAGAATTGAGAGCAAGGCGGACGTTTTTTAAGCCTTTACAGTGAAAAGTCTTCCGTTTTGCCTCGGTGGCAATGCAGACTGAGTTAGGCATTTTCAGGAAAGACTTCCTCATTATGTGAGGCAGTTTCAAAACTGCTTCTTGAAAGCTAAAAGGTTTTACTTTTAATGCGCGTACCTCCTATTCCTCCTCATCCGCCTCTGCCCCGCTCCGAAAAAACTCCTGTGTATCTTCCTTTATCTGTGGCAAATGCACCATCAAGAATAAAAGGAGAAAAGTGATTTTTTGCAACACAATCTAATATAAATGAGGGAGGAGTTTCATCGTTCTGAAAAAGAGGGAAATGGTCCAAACCAATGCAGTTAACTAACCTTGCAAAGACGGAGACCTCATTTCATGCTTTTGGGATTCCTTTGTCAGATGAATTACTATGTTAGCTGTCATTGTCCATTGTCCCAAATTTTGGTTGGATGGAAAAATCGGGACGCAGTTATTTTAGAGCTCTAAAAGTTGCCTCTTTTAATGATTCTTTTTAGCAGACTGTGCAAACTAAGTGAAATGTACAGTGAGGCGAGCTAGAAGAGTCTGTAGTTTACGGAAGTCGCAGTTATGGATGCGGCGTTCATTTGGAAGCTCTCCAAACTCGGTCGCATCGGTTCCACACGTCAGAGGTATGACGATGACTTTGCCGATCGACTTAACTACCAGTATACCAGCGTCCTACTCTTTCTTTTCATCGGACTTATTGGTATTCGACAGTATGTTGGTATGTCTTCTTTTCCCAGTTTATCTCTCATATTGGTTGAGTTATTGCTGAAATCCCTCGAGCCTGGAAGTAATTGCCTCAATTAAGTAGCTTGCACCAGAATAGCGCAATTTCTCTTGAACCTCTCCTTTAGGCTTCAGCAGATCCTCTAGGCTGCTGCCTGTGGCTGTCAAAGTAATAGCGTAGCTGGAAATTCCTCTCTCTAACATTTCCTAGTTATCTAGATAGGTGTCTCCCGCGTAGAAGCCAATTTGCACGTCAGGTTGTCATGTGTCCGCGCTTTTGAATGATGAGTGATCCTTTTTAAACAGACCACAGTCTCAGCAGAATCATGAGCATTTTGATCTTCCCATTCAGCCTTACTGTTTATTTAGACAAAGGTTGCCATCACCTCTTAAACCACGATTCAACTGATGTTCTCCTTTCAATTGCATAGCTCCTTTGTCGGACCTGCAAGTGCGTTAAGTCAGGAGGTAACGGTCAAGATCTCTCCCACAGTGGTCACCCTAAGTACCTGAATGTGTTGAGGTCAAACTGGAGCATGCGATTCCACTTGCTAGTATTAGTGACTGTGACAAGCTTGGCAGCTCACTCAGGCATGGTGGCATCTTCGCTTGAGTGAGCATTCACACGCCATTTTAGTAACCTCTCAGGCACTTTGGTCACATCAGAATTTTTGGTCTCCCAATGGTCAGAGTGGATTAAGACGACTTAAAATGGGGAGAAAAGTGGCATTCGTCTTAAAGCCAGGCTAATTTACATTGCTATTTGTGACGGGGTTAAGGATTAATGGCTGCTCGCCTTGAGAGAGTTTAAGATCCCCAAAAAGAAGTCTAAAACCTCCGATTTTGAGGCTCGGCACCACAATCGCTCCCAATTTTCTGGCATCAGTGAAATTTGGTAGTACCCCAACCATTCTCCCTTCATAACTGTCTTCTACCTCATCGTCTTCTTGATTCGCCTACATGCTGAGTCAGTCACAGATGATCCTACAAAAACTCAGTCCTTAAACTTACTAACCGGAAGAGATCATTAGTTGGTGTACTTTTAGAACAAGTCAGTGAATAGCAGCTACGGTGGGAGGAAATACCTAACCTCAACCGACGCGTGAATCAGTCGGCGGTAGTGGCAATACGCTTTGGCGTACAGCTCTTTCCCCTTCCCCTCTGCTTGTAACAGAATGCCAGATGAGGGGTAGTGATGGGTGTTGGGTTCGCCCTATTTTGAAATTCACTGATGAGGTCCGCAGCAGTGCAAGCCTTCCCGCATTTCCCCCCATCTAGGCACCCTTTTATGACAGTCTATTCATGCCTCGGTTCAACCCAGTCATAAATGCCACCTTTCTTTATGACTGTGGCCTTTGGTGGCATCCCGCTTTGGGGCTGGGTCTGCATGACACCAATTAATCAAACCTGTTACAATCATTAGGGCTAGCTTTGGGTTGTTTGGGAGTGATGAACTCTATTGTGACTATTAGTTTTAACCCCTAAAACAGGTCCGACAGGAGGGATAACCGACCTTAAGCTAAAGCTTAAATGAAGCCACATTCATTGGCGGGCATTCTTAGGGAAAGGTAATGCCTCTTCTCGGTTCTCCACTACCTACCTTTTTGTCGTGAACCTTGTAGGGCAAGGGAATGCTCACCCTAAAAATTCCCTATTTATGTGCTTGCTTATGAGGCAGATTTCTCATCCTTTGAGTTCGACAAGATGTAGAGCGAGGGAGAGAAGGAGAGGGAAAAGGCATGTGTCATGTCTTTGACAGAATGCATTAGGCATTATTAGAGGAGAGGTTTCTGCCCCGCAAGAATTTCACTTCCTTCACTTAGCGGACGACTCATTGGTAGACGGAAAGCACGTGCCCGATGTCGTGTTTCGCGACTAAATCCTACATCGTTTCTTTCCGCTTTCTGAGAATGGCATAGCTGAAATCTGTTTCTTCTAACTGACCGGCGGACTGGAGGTTCACAAACACTGGGAGGGGAGGAGAGTAAGGGGAAAGAGAATATTTATTTGTTCCATGCCCGCTGCCAGGGACTTAATTATGCATGAAAGTTGTTCTCGCTAGTCTTTTCATCCCAATGCCAGTGCTTGTGGTGTGAAATTGCTGTGAAGACCGTCTCCATCCACTTAGTGTCCTCTCCTCCCCCTCCACATCAGCTTTATTTCTTTTCACCTCGCTCACATCTCGCTGACTTACCGCCAAATCGGGAGCTCCTGATCAAGGTTTTGTCCATAGTAGACATTTTTTCAGACTTCTTTTCCAGGCTTCAGCATTTAACCAAGTTTTTTTCCTGTTATAGCGGTTAGCTTAAGCCGGCCAACAGTCGAACTAAATCATCAATTTAAACCAAAATTTTGACGAAGAATAATCACCTAATTTGCCCTTCTAAAGTTTGAAAACGAGGCTTTTTCCCCTTTTCCTAATGACCAGAGCAGAATGAAAAAAGTGGGGATAATAAGTGCCCTAGCAGAGATAATAAATCACGCGGTAGATTATGTCTCCACAGAGTCCCTCTGGTTAGGTCAGACTAACCCAGCCACCCTAGGAATAGACTGCGTGGTTTGAATTTGCAAATTAGTGAAATGAAAGGGAAATTTTTTTCTTTATAATGAGTACTTTTTAGAGCTCAAATTGACGATTTACGTGGTGTGGAGGGAGGGTGAAGCTCTGTTTTCCTCACTATGAGGAGCATCGTTTGTGAGAAAACTTGCAGTCTGTACCTCTTCCGGCATCTTTAATATAATATTTCCAAATTCTACTACTTTTGACATTTTCTGAAGCAGCATTAAAGCACAATACCGGATTGTGAAAGGTGGTGGAGGTTATGACTGAACACGATTATCCCCTGTTGGTTCCAAGTATAATGATGTATCTTGGGCCCACCCTATTCCCTTTTTCCACTTTTAACGTAGAATTTTAAGCAGTTTTTTTTCCTTTTCCTTTAAGTTATTAATGCTGTGTAAATCAGTGACACGTAAATCCGCAAATTAACACTTTCAACGAGCGTCACGTATATTTGACGCCATAGTTTTATCCTATTACTCCTATGTAACAAGTGATATTTGTCTATTTCCGAAAGCCAACTGCACCAAATTGTGCGTTTCAGATAAAATGGTTGAATTTAAGGCAGCAAAAGAGAAGTGATTAACCCGTTGTCTGAAGATAAACATGATTCCCTTCCTTGAGCGGCAGTTGAAATGGCAACCAAAAATTGCTCAAAAGTCTATTCACCTTGAAGGACGGAGGCAATATGTTATAACTTAAGACGCTTCGGATTAACACTTCAACTTAGTTTTTTGAAGGAGAGGTGAAGAGGCAATGAATAGCGGTGTTCAAATACCTTATAGCGAAGCTCACGCAAAGCATTGCATTAGTGAACAAAGCACAAAATTGGGGTGGCAACTTAAGCCTGCCAGCTTTATGTCATACGCTGGAGCTCCTAATCAAGCTATCTCAAGACGCAGAGAGGCAGCAGCAGTTCACTGCTCGTAATTAAGGCGACGCCCCCTCTCTCAGCACACCCGCCACGACCCAGTACACCTAGCAAAGCCATCATTTTTTGCTAAGAATTAATCAAAGGGTCTACATTTATCTCCCCTTCCTTCACGCTCCCTCTCTCTCGCCTTCTCACCTTTCAATCGGAAAGTTTTATTTGAGGAGTGAACTCGACCAAAAGCGGAGAAAATAGCTTCACAGGGATCAAGAGGAAAAAACATGTCCATAATCCTTGACTTTGCTTCTTTTCCTTTGAGATCCAGATTTGATCATAAATAAAGACGATTTCAGTAAGTGGTAGGATGGCAGAGATGACAGAGATTAGCGCAGAGTCGCGGTTTATCCCGCAGTCCATCAACTGGACGATAGACAGGGATCAAGACGCAGCGATTCCTTCCACTAATGGGGTGAATTTGTCAGATAGATGTAAACGAATTTACACAAGCTTCTCATTCACTTTGGGCACAAAATGTAGACATTTTCGAAATCTTAAAAGCGGCAAAATACGTCGTTTTCCTTTACACTGTTCAAATGTGTCCCGCTTCAAATATGTCAAATGTTTATCTCCACCCCAATGAGCTTTTGGTGAGTCCATGAATAATCTCGTTTTGAAGCATGCCCTTTTATGGAAATTTATCTACTGCGCTGTGTGACGTAATCCCGGCGACACGTAATAAAGTGATGGTAAATAAAGTATTAGAAATCTTCCTAGGCACAACAAAACCCAGGCGAGTTGAAATTTTCCAGCAAAAACGACGTAGATTAAAAGAAGCCTGGACCACTATTTCGACCAAACTATTTCGTTATCCGTCTTCTTGTCCATTCACTACTACACCACGTATCAGTGAGGCATACATTGACGATTTCAATTAGTCAACACTCCGAGGGCTATTTTTTGTTTTTCGCTGAGGGGGGAACAGACAAAGGTGTCTTAAACTAACTTTGCCAATCCCAAGTTTTAGCCTCCTATGCTACAACGACGAATTTTCCTGACAGTACGAAATAAGCCAAACCCATTTTTGGCAAGGCAGAATTAAGGACTTGCTCGGTACTTTTGTCTTAGGATTAGGAGCCTGGACAACTTTATTAGACAGAAGGCTGATTTCAGTAAAATTTTCACTCTGAAATAAACGACTAAATTAAAAAAAAAATTTGGGATGCCTATTAGTTAGCTCAAAACTCCACAAGCTTAAAGCAAACCGACCTTTGTTTTCCTTATTTGACTCATTTTTCCGGCTAAAAAGAAAAATTAGGTAATTCGTTGGAGGTTTTGTTCTTAAAGTGCAGAAAGTTCTTTTCCAAAAAAAACTACTGAAGTAATTAAAATGAGGCCTGAAAGGGACATGCAACGCATGAAACGGTGTTCGCTTGGTTTACTATTTACAGTCACTTCCTAGAAAAAAGGTAATTATTGCGTTTGTCCTGAGTTTTATAGTAGCTTACACATTTTAAGTAAAAGCAAAGCCCACTGAAGACATTTTTGCTCTCTTTTTTACTTGAGTATGCCCCAAACAAGTCGCCTGTGCTATGCGTGGGGCGTTTGACCCGCATATGCATTTATCTCAGACAGTATGGTATGACGTAGTGAAATGCCAGTTTTGATGCAATTTAACGACTAATTGAAGGGAAGGAATCCTGCGTCCTTCTTACAGTTTGGCAAACAGGACAGCTCCTTGGAACGACAGTATGTTTTAGTGCAGTGCAACCACGAGAGAAAGCGGGCGATGAATTTCCTTATTATGAGATGTTATTGTCAAATTTTGGGAAATTTGTAGGTGACCCTTGTAATACATTTAAAACAATTAATTAATTATGAATATTTCCTGCAGTAGGCAACTAAAATATGATTTGGATTGTAAAACCTTCAATTGTGACAAGAGTGCCTGGATTTGTGACTGATTTATCCGAAAATTATTGAAGATCCCGTCAAAATTTTCGATTTGTGAAAAGAGGTCTGACTCCCCGAGTCTTCCCCAAAGTACTGCGGAAGAGCTAGGAGGCCATCAGAATGGCGAAGAGACCTGTCATACAGAGGAGGCATAAAATCCAACGAAAATTGTATTTAATGACCTGGAATGGGCAGTAAAAAAGGTCCCATTATAATACCATTTCGAATACTTTATTGTTTTTTCATGAGAATTATGCCCCAAAATTGTGCGAAGTTTTGGTCAAGGAGTATAACGCCCGGAGACTTCCCTGCAGACGTAAAAATAGATGGTACTTGGGCAGAATATGCATTTCCGACTTACAGAAGATGGTGGAGGACTACTGACATGACTCGGGGGCCGAGCCGCCCGGCCAGGTACAGTAGTGAAGCCCTAGTTGCCCACGTAACCAAAAGTATTGCGGTGATTACTGCCCAAACAAAAAGTGGTCGAAAAGTATTAAAAACAAAAACACAGGTCGAAAGTTTTCCAGCTATTTGAATTGTAGCTCGGTGGAAGTGGACCACACAAGAGTTTTGGTTTAATGTTGCTCTTCAGTCCTGTCAATGTGTGACATGAATTCCTCACTTCTTTTCTACCCATCTGTCGCTTCAAATTAGGGCTTATGAAGAGGAAAGGTTTGAAGGCACAGACATGTCAAGTGAAGTGCGGGGATATAGCCGAGGTGTAAGCGATGGACTTTTCGTGTTTCTCCATTAAGTTGAGTTGTGATGGCCCCCTGCTACTCACCTAATTGCAAAAGCGCTTGGTACGCCTGTCCTGGTCCATCCCAACCCTTCTCTTTCAGCCCTATCCCATTCATCCCTATCCTCTCCTATTCTATCCTATCCACCCCTATCTTATCCTCTCATATCCTGTCTCGATTTATTCACCTCCATTCCCTGTGCGTGTAAGAATGTGAGGCGATTGCAGGGACGAGGTAAAAACGGCTACCTGTGCGCTCTTTCTCGAGTGGAAGCCTCCTTTTCTTTATGCAGAGGCTTATTTTTTTCAAGGGATTTGATTTTACTCTTTTTAAGCAGCGTTTTCTCCTTCTGCAATGTGGTGGAAAATCATAAACCGATGGGAGTATGTAGGTTCTCACTAGCAAAAATGAGAGGAGAGAGGAGAGAGCATCACCAACCACACTTACAAAGCTAGGAACTTGAAATAGGCGAGTTTTATGCGTTAATCATGCTTTATCTTTCCCCCTTTTCCTTTTAATACCTTAATTTATCTTAAAATAGACTTTTAGAAACACCTTAGTACGGGTGTTGAATAATAGAGTGAAGATTACATTTTCGTTTTTTCTCTCTTCCTCCCTCCTATTTGAAATCCTTGGATCGAGAAAGTCGATGGGAGAAATGCCTCTTATGTTATGCGATATAGAGGGCTTACAAATTATCCAGGATTCTATGGCTCTGGGGGAGAGGTGGAGACTAGTGTCCATCTCCTCCTTTGAGGGTTGGTGAGATCCGAGAGGGCTTGCATTCTGGGACAATTAAACACACACCTAGCAACCTACAAAGTAAATTTTTAACCAAATCAAACAAGAGTTGGTGAAAGCTAAAATCCCGCGGTGGAGTGGTCAGAATGATATAAATCTAGAACACGGAGGTAGTAACACGGTCCACTGGAGATGTCCATATCCCACCGGGCGTAACCGGGCGCAACTGTCATCACGCCACGTAACTGCTTTGCCTCAAGCCTAATGCCTCTGTCACTGTATCCCCTAGTTATGCCACTTTGCGCATAGGTAGTCGCAGCAATGTTCCGAGCATCCACGAGACAGGAAAAGAACGACGGAGGGGAAGTGTAGCTTCCCTATTTGGAGTATTCACAAATCTAGTCATTCAGCGTAAAAAACTTTCGCTTGCAGGGATTCGGTATAGCACTTAACCACTGAAAGAGAACTGTCCTTTTTTGGAGTTTGTCAGCCAGCATGTCATCGTAGACGGTTTAGAAGACGCCAGAAGGAGTTGAAGATTAGTAGCAAGGAAACCACTATGGTAAATCTTGGGAGAGTTAGAAGGGCTCCCATTAGAACGCCAGATGAGGTTTTTATTTCATTATAGGAAAGCCAATTCAATGTTGGATCCCTCAAGAGTTCACTCGAGGCTGGGAGGAGTACGCGGAAAACTACTGCTGGGTGGCGAATACGTACTTTGCAGCGCTGTGGAAGCGACTACCCTTGGTCCCTGACCGTCGCTCCAGTCACCTTGTCTACTACCAATGGGCGCCTATTGTGCTTGCCGCCCAGGCTCTCCTCTTCTACCTTCCCTGTTTCCTCTGGCGTGTAGGCATGCGTAACTCCGGCTTCTCCGTTCATCGGGTCCTCCAACTGGCCTCCGAGTCCAACGATTTGGTGCCCGAAGTGGCGCAGAAAACGGTTCATGTCATGGCGAGGTATCTGGAAATGTGTATCCATCGACAGCGCATGTACCGGTGGGTTTGACTTCCTTATTTTTACTCTCATTTTTTTCCACCATCGTTCTTGCTGTACCAGATGCTGAGTCTAAATAACATCTCCTCTCGACACTAGTCTCCGATATCGGAGCAAATCTCAAGGCTTCGGGGAAAGGACTCGCTAATGAATGTCTCGAAAAATCACTGATTTACAATAATTTTTCTCTTGTGAAACTCCTGAAAAAGCTGGGTAAAAATAGTATTTCTGACGGTATCTTCCTTTTCTAATGAGGATTGAGTCAGGATTTTGTCCAAAGGTCAATCGGGGCGAACTTGAGGAACAAAAGATAGATGAAAAAGTGATCAGGAGGGTGTTAACAGTTGCTCCCTTCTCCACTCCTAATTGTTGTATGGGAGTGGGGAAGGGCCTGTCAAAACAAGTACGATCCCACTCTCACCCCAAATTTCCCCTTTTTTCTTACTTTTAATCCCAACAATCAGAATCTCACTGCTGGGGATTTCGCGTGAATATCAGTTGGCAGAAGCCTCTCTAATTGTACATGTTTTGAGAAGAGGACTAAATTTAATTTCTAGAGGGAGGAAGATGTATTGTTTTATCTGGCTTAGTGTTGTCAGTGTTGTGGTAGCCTCAGGGTTGCCCACCTTTCTCTTCATTACGAATTTGTAGGATTAATGACTTGGATTTAGGACTGGCAATCTCAGCCATGGCATCGAAACATGGAAGTCAATTTTTATGCTCTCCGTTTATAAATGAAGGGCTAAGAGCAGTTTTCTTACCACAGCGAGCATTAAATGGTCAGTTTTATCCTAAACCGCATACGTATAAGAAAAACTTAAGTCAAACTGGGAATCCTAATTTCCATGGACAAACGGACTAACGCCGTGACAATGCTAAACCCAGTAGCAGATGCTGTATCCTGCCAATCGTAATGGTCAAGGTACACTCAACAGCCCGTCACGAAATACCCTCAGGCCGCATTTGTTGTCTCGGATCCAAGAAATAAGCGCAAAAGTAAATATAAAGGACTCGAATTTCCTCCTTTTTTTGACCTAGCAGTAGGTAATCATTACTTGTTTGTCAAATGTTCTAATGTTGAGTATCCATGACACAAATTGCATCTTTGATGATGAATTCTAACAGCAGAGATAACCTTTGAGATGTTCCTTCAGAATATGTATTACTAAAGTTTTTATGTTCTTGTACTGCAAACGCTCAGGGAGCGTGATGGTCATATACTATTGACCTTATTGATGCCTACAGTGCTTGGGCGAGGAAGAGGCACTCACGGTACTCCCAATTCCCACTCAGATCAAAATAAACTTTTTCACACCACTCTGCGGAACAGACAAACTCACAAATGGAGGTAGGAACTCTCACCTCCCTTAGGTCGTTTCTCATAAACCGGACTGGCCGTATAATTCGCCTTTACAGACAAAGAGCAATAGTAAATTTATAATTTTCCAAGAAAGCAATCTACAAAAACAGAAAGCATTTACGTTTTTTGTTAGACTATAGCATTGCATTTTTCACTGAGGCTTCGCAAAACTGCAGGCCACTTCTATATACTTAACATGTATGAATGATTCATCAGACGTTGGAAATTAATGGCATACAGTAAAATAGAAGTTCTGTATTTATGTTTCTCAGGAAGAAGGCTAGTACTACTTCTTAAAGCGTTAAGCGTTGTTAACTCGTTAAGATTTCGGTTTTTAGGAAATAAAATGCAAAGCAAAATGCGGCATGGCACAGATTTAAAGGCGTGAATTTGCAGAGAATCTACCCTCGACTCATACATCCCCTTCTACATGCCTCTATGCCTTAGAAATGGGCTTTCTTGTAGTTGGTTCATTTATATTCAAAGTGGTGCTTCAAAACCCTAGGATTTCTTGGAGGAAAGGTCATTCGCATTCCATTAAAAGAGCCAAAAAATGTAGAAGCGTAATGAGAAGTTATAGTGATAGTTCAAAAGTACATTAATATTTTAAAATCAAATAATATGATTGCGTTTTGGACGAAAGAGAAGTGTTTGATAAACAGAAAAAAGTCTATATTTTGGGAAAGAATAATCTTTTGATGAGAAGACTGATTCTTTTGGAAAATTAGGAGCAGTTTATTCGGTAAAGTGGTGAAATTGTGACAATGAAATAAGTTGTTTTCATGGCTAGAGCTCAAACTTTACAACCGATTATCGAGACAAAAACGCTTACTGCCGTACCTTCCAGTTGCTCCTTCCTCTCACCTTCTGTTTCAGAGCCTTGACTCAAAAAGAGTAATTGGCTGAAAGCATTTTACATTGTGTGGCATGGAGGTTTAATAGATCATAGAGGTTTTATTTGTTACCAGCAATTTTCTCCTCCGCGATGTTGTCATAGCCGCCAGTTTGGTGTCATCTCGTTATTACTTCCAAACATGTGTTCATTCTACTTATAAGAGTTTACCTAACGATATCCTGACTGACTGAATTGCAATTGTACGGTGATTTTACTTCCTTGATGGAAAATACCTCGTTTAGTCGAAGACTCCAGCACCTATGCATGTAATCACTCTGTGGAAGGAATTGAATGTGCTCCGAATTGCGCCTGAAGTAGGCTTACTGCCTCCTATGGCTACTGTTAAAGAAATGGTTGTCTCCGAGACAAGTCAACCACATGGGAAATTTCGTCCTTCTCTGAATTTCAATCAAGCAATTTCAAATCCAGTTAGCCAATGTGCCAGATCCTTCCTAGTTAGCGTTAAGGCAGCCTTCACAAATACTGGTAAAGTAATGGGACTTCTCCCACCCCTTAATGGCCGTTAACTTTTCTGTCCTACTCAGATGACGAAATGTTACCATCCCTTTGATCGCCGCGACCTTCGTACAGTCCCATGATTGTATGCAGGTGACGCGGTCGGCGTTTTGTGCCAAATACAAATTTAGGACATTTGAATTGTGCAGGTATTCAATTTCTGGTTAGGTCTTTTCTACTGCCCCTGTTAAACTTGAGGGTTCCAAATTTGGCTAGAAGAGATGGATTTTTTACCACTCGAAGGTAATAAAACCTGGAAATAAAAAAAAAACTCCCAAAGAGGCATTAGGTGACGATACTAATTGGATTGTCTTAAAGAGAGGCTCTCAAAACCATCCCCTAATTCGAGGGGATTGGAAAATAGGGGCGTGTTTGGCACTGAGAAAATGAGGAAAAGAGACCATTTGCTTAGTCCCGCTTCACTTAAACTGATTACATTTGCATGTCTTGGACATCCGTTTGAGGTAGAAAGGGTGTATGAGGCTTCGAGAACCCCGTTAGTTAATTATCCCCGAAAAAGTCCACCTAAATTAATCACGCACAAGTGGTTCCACTAGAAGAGGGATAAAAGCCCATTTTTAAACCCGTTTACAAAATAGCCATAAAAGTTCAGGACTTTTGGGTTAACACCGGGGAAACAGAAGTCTTAAAGCGGGGAAATCAACTTGTAGCCTATTCTTGGAAGGATTTGTCTGTATAGCCTCACCATGCCAGAGCAGTTATGGAATGGTGTCTTTGTTTCCAGCTAGGGTATTTCCAACAGAGATTTCACCCCTGGCCCGAGCTCACCTTATTATTCGCCACGGATGGAGTGCAGGCGTTCATAATCAGATCCTCCACGCCCTGATTGATGGTTAGCATGACTGTCTGCTGTGGTGAGGCGGTAACCGCCACGACTGGAGTTGTGACTAAGCCTCTCACTACCCTGTAATCTGTGCCTAAAATCTCCTGGAGACACGAGTGGATATTGTGCAGTTCTTCACGAGGCCTAGGTTCACAAGAGACCATGTCACCACGATCTCTTCCGTTTAAGTATCCCTAACCAATGTTTATAGTCGGCTTGATTATGGGTGTCCGGACTGGACTATTCCTTAAGATGAGATTAGTGGGTCGTAGGTGTTCAATGAGCTGCATTAAACTTAAGTTGCCGATGTACAAGCTGACAGATAATACACCCTACCTGCGAGATTTGGCTTTTTGTGTCTTGAGTCAATCTGCCGACTTAACTTACCCTCTCAATCATTTTCGCTTTCTCGATCGCCTCTCCAGCAGCAGATTGGCAGTCTTTAAAAAGCAATTTCAGGGAGAGATTACGCCTAATACTAGTTTAATCATTTATCTACTGGTTGGGGAAGACTCCTCCTCCTTCCTCCTTTTGTCAAAGTCAATTTGGCTTGTGGATAAATAGGAGGTAATTACCGCGCTTTTTAAGGTAATGCCTCAGTTTAACTTCCAAATTGTGCTCCATCGTGTCGAGACATCTTTCAGACACATAGGTCTTTTAGTTGCTTCACTGAGGGGCTAGTGACAGATGCCGTTGTCATAGAAACCGAGTCATTGGGGCTCACAAAAGGCCAATGCATTATTATGCACAATCCAGAAGAACAAATTATGCAGCTCCTGTCTCGCTTGGACCATCCTCAACCTTCAGCAATGCCTCCTCTACTTGGCTATCCCAGACCGATTTTCCATTACGTAGTGACATTAACCTGTCCCCTAGATGCCAGGGGACATTAGATAGACTAGTCCAGAAGGTGTCAGTCAGTATGTCAAATTGAGGGTGCAGGCAGGCCTCCATCACCTCAAGGTGGTGTGGAAGCTGCATCTTGAAAATATATTCCAAGACCCTATCTCATGGGGCATGACTAAGCTGTGACTCTAGGCACAAAGCTGCCATGATCCTTTCATTAAAATTTTGTTTGCAGACAGAGGTGTAGCTGTGAGAAAAGCCGTAGCTCCACAACAGTGCGATTTCATCCTTCTCCGCTAATTGAGATGCAGACGCCTTCGAATGAGGCCTCGAGGGTGAAGGACTACATTCAACCTACCTCCATCGCCACCGCTTCCTCGGAGCAAAGTGCTCCTCCCGCATGCAAACCTATCGTTTCAACCTCAGCTGCTACTCAGATAGTGCGTTTAGATATTCTTCATCTATTCTTTCACAATCGAAACAACCATTTGTGTTGGATCTAAGAGTGCAGATGTGCCGAGATCTTGGTGCATTCATTAATACCCTAAAAGTACACCACCCGTTCCTCACTTTATGAGAGGATGAGAGTGGATAAGAAAGCGGTTCGCGTGTTTCTGCTTTCTTTAGAGTCGAAAAGCACCGTCTCTATCCATGCGTGCTCCGGTGCTGCAAAAATTTCGAAAGGCTCCACTCCCACCCCTGCCCCCGCCTTCCTCGATGCTTCATGACGAGGGGGACTTTACCGAATTCACCACCATTCAGTTCTCTCCCTCCCTAGACGGAGGGAATTCGGAGGCGGGACTTAGTGAATACCTCATCAAGTCGCCACCTTCCCACTCTACTGATAGATGTACTTCCACCAGCTCTGGTGAGTTGACGAAGACCTCGGTCCGATGTGGTACACTTCCAGTAGTTAAAGGGTCTCATTTTATCCCTTCCATAATAATGTTCTGCTCCGCGCCCCTCTGGTTTCTCCAAAGTTATGAAGTATATTTCCGTAATTTCCGTTTTGGGGAGGAAAAAGAAGGACTTCAAACGATCCCGCAGAGCTTTACACAACACTGTGTAAGTAGAACGGACATCTTCCTTCGCTAGAGGCATTAAGAATGCGGAGTGAATTGGACGGGCGCGTCAAAAATCACTAATAAAAAGACATACTTATCACTTACTTTGTCATGATAGAATGCCTTTTTCGTATCACCTACTTTTATTTCATTTCCTAGAATTCATTGCCTTCTGAATCAAAATTTAGCCCACATGTGTGCAGTGAAATAGCTTGGCTAACCAAAAAACGAATGGTCTTTGGAGTGACAAAAACGGGTGCACTTTTTCAAACCAACAAAATGTATTTTCCTCGCAGTGTTGCACGAGAGAAGTTGTTTCTGTAGCTACTCAATCGAGACTGAAAAATATATAATCTCTCTCAAATTGGGTGTAGAAAAGGGCAGAAAAAGTATGGAAACTCGGAGGGAATGTGCTTGAACAAATTACCGCAAAGGGGCCACTTGATGTCACTCGAGAAAACTGCCTGGTTAAATCCAATTTTCTCAACAAGAGGCATCTCTACTTCGTTTTCTTATTTCTCTCCAAAGCAAGGGTAGTTTTGACCATAATAAATGCGTAGATGCGTGATAAATGTTACAGGAATTGCGCATTATAGCGGAGCAGCTCCGAGGCGAGACGGAGAAGGGCGTGCCTGATTCCATCCAAGGGGTATGGAGATGAGAGATATATTAATGTATGAATGAATTTGGGAAAATAGTCAGATGAAGGATTGCCTAAAAACTTGACAAAATCTCCCTGAAAAGTTTGAAACCAATCTCTGTTTCATGTGGGGCTCACTTCTGACAACGGACTGAGAAAGTCACACACATTAGGAGGAAGAGGCGCCTTCTTTGCGTTTCAGAGCGATATTCAGGAAGTCCCGATCTTGAAGATGCTGCAACATCCACTGAAAACAAGATTTTCTCCCTCCTTTTGGATCACCAGTACTTTAAGCAAGCAAGGAAGAAGTTTTCCACCAGGGAACGCTCCGTAGCTTAAGGAAGAACTTGGAGACCAATGACCAAGGCGCAGGAGAACATAAAGCCTGTGTTATTGCTCCCATCATTAAAATTAGTTTTATTTTTTTCGAAAGTGGGTACCTTGATCGGGGCTTTGCTGACAATGCTTACTTAGATCGCACTTCCTTTATTGGGGAGAAGTGAGGTCGGTTCCAAAGCAGGCATGACTATCCTTAGTTTTAGCTAACAGACTTTTGCTTCTTTGCAGACTGGATTCCAGAAATTCACTTTTTAACTACTGCTTAAAGCTTAAATGATGTTATGCAGAAGAAAGAAGACAGAACACTTAGGCTGAATATGCATTGCCGAAGTACGAAAGGGTTGGGGGGCTAGTGGCATGCCCTGGAGCCCAAGCTTCTCGGCAAGGGTGCAACGGCGGTACCCCCTAAGTGAGTGGGTCGTTACCAAAACCGAGAGTTAAACTGACAATTGAGACATTACATCATCTTCTGGACCTCATTTAGTTATTTTCTGATTCGTCGTTGCTGGAATAATGATGAATGCCTTTGCCTTCTACTGTGGTTCCTTAGATTCTTAGGCAGCTTTCAGCTTACCTCATCATGATCTCGATCTACGTAATGTTTCAGGGTGCAGCAAGGCCTGTGCCTTGGATAAAATGTCATGTATTTTGTCCCTATGGAAAAATATTTAGCAGACGTAATTAACTGAAAGGCAGTTTTTAAATTACTTTTGAGAATAATTTTGACACCGAATTGGACGCCTGTCAACGCATTAACTTGACAGCAGATACGAAATTATAGTCAGCCTAGAATTTGACTAGTGCACTACTTTATTCTTCTACATTAATTTTGGCAAAAAAGGGTAAAATGGACGAAGTTTGCATTCGGTCACTGTCAATTCAGTCAGTGAGTCCGGAGAAGAATGCAGCATACAGAAATAGAGGCGCTTTACAAAGTCTTTTGGTGATGTGCCATTCCAATATCCCTCCTGCTGGAGCGTTTTGTCACATCCTCAGTTAGAGATTTTGCTTCCACGCTACTAACCCTGCTTACCTCGGAGGTTAAGAAGAAAGGTCACACAATTGTTTGTTGCCAACCTTCTTAAATCCTCACTAGTAGGGAGAAAAGGAAAAGTTGTGCAGATCGTTAAGAAGAGAGATAGCATCTAAATACAACTATCCCTGCAAGTGGTAATGTTGCGAGTGGCTCCCGGCGACCGGTTTAGACTCGCATTCTGTGCAGTCGGGAGTGGAAGACGATTTTGACACTGATGCGATTAGTAGTGATGTTAATCAAGTAATGTCCGTCCACGGGATTGTCTTATTCTGGTCTTATTCCAACCTACAATTGACAGGTGCTTGCATCACGAATCCGTTTCCCCACCCTTAATTACCGCTGTAACAAAAATGAGGGCTGCAGGTGGATTTAAGTGAGAAAGTGTAGCCCTGTCACTTATCATTAATCCTCAAATAACAAATACCCTATTAACTAACCCTACTCCACGGCTGGGGCGTGAAATGAAACAGTGCTGTTTTTAGTTTTTAAAGGGAATCAACTTGTTGAAAATAAAGGCCGGATCGGAGGGGATTTCAGGATAACTTGAACCCCCCTAGGATAAGCAAAAGTTGCTTTACTATACCTTAAAGTGGTTCTTTACCTCGGTGGCTTCTCTCCACTCGTAACAGGGTAATTTGAAGACTCAAGGAGGTGAACTACGGAGAATAAGGTGTTTGTACATCACTTTCCAACAGAAACCTCATTTTTGGGTGCTTCAGGTTGTAGTGAAGTAATTTGACCTCCGACATTTTTTTGAAAGACCTGGAAGATCGACACCATAAGGGACTCGTTTCAATACAGAAGTGAACAATGGACGATAGAGGTGATATTGTACTATTGATGACATTATTAAGGTCAAAATCTAAATTTTTTGACCTAGAACCTGTGTACACGACCTTTTACAGGCAATCGCTGTTTCTTATTTACTTGTAGAAAAGCCCAGTAAAATGGCGGTAGCCGGAAAAAAGAAACAGACCTGCACCTGGTCCCCTTGCCGTTGGCTAACTCCACGCTGTCATGGTAAAAGACATCACTGGTGGAATCGCCAGCATCGACGCGGTCTGCAGAGTTGCTGTAGCCGAGAGTGTGGAAATTTTCTCACCACTCTCTACTGCCTTGTAAAGTGCCTCTACTTGGTGAATGCAGTGGGCCAGATCTACCTGATGGAACGCTTTGTTGGTGCACGGGTCACCTTCTACGGTGCTGCGGTGTTGGCTGACCTTGTTCGTGGTCGAG